TTCAGTAGACATGGAATACATCTCGCTCAGGTCAGTGCAGAATTGAGAGAAGTTGTACAAATACAGTGCAGTGATTGCCTCCATGAACCTCATGGAGAACTCCGCTGGTGTTTCTTCGTGTTTTCACTACAGCTGTCCTGAAATTTTTGATATCCACACATGGAAATCAGATTCTAAGCTTCCATGCTGTGAATAATGTCTTTGAGTTAACCCATTTGGAAGGAAACAGTCTCTCTTTTATTTCCCAAAATATATAGCTCTCATGGTGACGGAGAAGGGAGAATGGCTTTAAGCTAAAAGAGGATGAACTTAGGCAGGATGTTAGGAAGAGGTTTTTTGCTCAGAGACTGGCAATGCACTGGCACAGACTTCTCAGAGAAGTTGAAGATGCCCTGATCCTCGAGGTGTTCAAGTCTAGGTTGGATTGGCCCTAGGCAGCCTGGTCTGATGGGTGGCAGCCCTGCTTGCAGCAGGAGTTGGAGTTTTATAATCTTTAGGGTCCTTTCCAACCTAAGCCTTTCTATGATTCTATGAAATATACATAGTAAATTTAATTGAATTTCTGTTTACAGGGAAAAAAAACCTTTGCATCCCTGTTCCCTCATGAGAGTCACTACTGCCACAGTCAAAACTCTCCCACCCACTGCCACTTCTCCCTGGGCAGACCACTAACCCTGCACCTTCTCTGTTGACAAGCAGCAGGTCCAGGAACGTACTTCCCCTTGTTGACTCCTTAACCATCTGTGTCAGGAAGTTATCTCCCACACACTCTAGAAACCTCCAGGACTATTCCCTTTCTGCTGTATTATATTTCCAGCAGACGTCTGGGAAGTTGAAGTCCCCCACAAGAACAAGAGTAGAGACTGCGAGACCTCATCCAACTGTCTATAAAGTATCTTATCCACCTCTTCATCCTGGGTGGGTGGCCTGTAGCAGACTCCCACGATACTGTCAGTCTTATTGGCCTTCCCCTTGGTTGTAACCCGTAAGCTCTCAACCCTATCATCACCATCATTAATTTCCAAACCATAGTGGAAATGCTAAGTCATGGCCTGAACCAGTGATCAAGCACCTGGTGGGAAGGCAGGGCCAACCCAGGGGAGCTCAGGTGCATGCAGTGTACCTGAATGACTGGAAGGTGTGGAGTCAGGATCCACCCTTCCCAGACCTCATTTAAGGGTTGGCAGTGGAGGTGAGGGTGTCTTCTGCTGGAGGTTTCTGCCTACCTGGGGTTTTCTAAAGGTAAGCAGCTCTTTTCATTTGTTTCTGCATCTCTGGCTGCTGCACTTGAGCTTGTTGTCATTTGATGTAACCAAAGACTTTGCCACCCTGGTCTTGTAGCACTTTCCATCCCATTATAGCCTTACATAGGTGCTCATGTTTTTTTTTTCTCAACATAGAGGGCTACATCACTGCTGTTCCTGCCTTGCCTATCTCTTTTGAAAAGTTTATAGCCATCCATCACAGCGCTCCAGCTGTTCAAGTCATCCCAGCATATTTCCATGGTGGTGACTATATCATCATTTTCTGACCACACAGTGGCCTCTATCTTCTCCTGTTTGCTACCCATGCTGCATGCATTAGTGTAAATGCACCTGAGCTGGGCTGCATTTTGGGTGCAAGAAACCCTCATACCCTCTTTTTTTCCATACTCAGGTTTATGTTTATGGAAACAACCTCACACCAACCCTTCTGTTCTTCCTGCAGAATGGTATGTCATTCTCCTCCACCAAGTTGCAAGATATCTTGCTAGGACATTCATCTCCCATGAGCACTGGCATGTTACATCTAGGCTCCTTTCTAATGACCATGGTTTCACCCTCACCAAACTATTCTATGATTCTGAACACCAATTTGAAGCCAGAATGTTTGAGGTGTGACTCTAAAGAACACTTTCTCATTCAAGAAAAATCCAGCTTGTGTCTTCAACATTGCTTGAAGTTGTGAGTTCAGTGGGCTTGGACAGGGTCAACCCCTTTGCTTGGGGACGTCCTTCAGCCGCAGAGTACTGTAGACGCACACAGAATGTCTCCCAGTGCTTCTCAGGAGAGCCAAAAGGAATTTGCTGATAGATGGGGGCACTGCCCGCAGTCCTCTCTGCTGCACTCCTATCTCTTGTCACATCCCTGCAGATGGAGACCAGCGCTTTTGCCACAGGCTACATTTGGTTTCAGTTTTCAATTTTTTTTTTTTCCTTGCAACAATTAAGGCTGAAACCTCTTTCAGTAGAGCAAGCAATGTGAAACAAAACAAAAACACCTCTGAGACTGTGGCTCAGTCATGTCCCAGGACTGCAGGCACAGAGGCAGACTTATCCTCAGTGTGGGAACGCAGGGGGCAGAACTCAAGGCAAAGAGGTTTGCCACATGTTAAATATATCTGATTTTCTGTAGGCTTTCACATGCAGCCTGCATGCCTTCAATTCTTTCTCAGATCTTTGCAAAACATAATTCAGTTCTATTTACTTGTGGTTCATTTGCAGTTCTTTTCAGTTCTGAATTATGAAATTATTCCTCTTAATGCTGTCAGGAAAGTTAATAATATCCAAGATCTCAGATTAAAAATTAAACATGAGTATAACATTATTTTCCTCTGGTAAATATTCAAGTATAGTACATACTAGTGCAGGATCTTTCCAGAAAGAAATAAAGGAAAATATGTAGGCATCATTCTTATTTTATTACAAAGTAAAAATTACGAGAGCTTTAGGCAAGATTTATGTGTGCATACAGACATTATTTCTGATGGTGGTGCAATTATGATTTTCAAATACAATGGAATGCTGATTTTTGAAATATATCAGTATTTCTTTTCTTTTGTTTTAGTTTTCCTTTCCTTGCAAACTTCTAATGGGTAAGCTTGTAAATAACACAAACAACTGGGGTCCAGAGCAGTGCGTATAACTGCAGTCTTGTTTAGGTCCTGCCTCAAGAATGTTTCCCTATTCAGTAAGGACTCTTCAGCTTCTTCACAAATGCTTTCTAATATTGGAAACGTAAGGAAATCAGTATTGTGAACTTTGCACTTATTTTTCTCTGCAGACACACTTTTAGTCACTGTTATCTTTAAGTATGAATAGTTATTTTTCTAATGCCATAATACAACAAAATATTCTGACTGCTTTAAGGGACCAATGTGTTTCAATCCAGGATCATGAGGTGGCATGTGTTGGCGACCCAAAACGCCCCTGAAGAATGATCCTGGGGTGGAACAAAGTATTCTGACAGTTTTAAAGGAAGTGGCTACAGCCACAAATATCTTATTTTGTAGAGAAAGTTGACCTTGGTAGTTTGTCTTGTTTTTACAAGTACTTGCTTTGCAAACAGGTGTTATCTCCCACACACTCTAGGAACCTCGAGGACTGTTCCCTTTCTGCTGCATTGTAATTCCAGGAGATGTCTGTGGAGTTGAAGTCCCCCATGAAAACAAGGGGTAGAGACTGTGAGACCTCACCCAAGTGCCTGTAGAAACCAGATTTTAAGTTTCTGTGCTACAAATAATGTGTTTGAGTTAATCCATTTGGCAGGAAAAAGTCTCTATTTTTCAAAATATGTAGCTCTGAACTGATTTTAAATGAATGTCTAATTTTTAAATGTTTGAAATATCCAGTCAATGCTGTTAATCAAAATAGTGATTCAAAGTATTTTTGCATTTTCTCTCAAATACTTAACTTTGCTTTTCAAAATCAGTGTATTGTATGGTCATATTTTGGAAGTGCAAAGACTCAGTCAAAACTGCAGAGATGGACCTCACAGAGGATACAGTTTAATGCTATTTTTTTCATATGCTTGTTGTGTTATTTCTAGCTCCTAGCACTCTGCAATAACCAAATGTTCTTGTTTTGGTATTTTTGGGGGCTGATAATAGCAGCAACCTGCAACATTTTAGTACTGAACAAAGTGCATTTGGTGGCATGATGTTTTGAGACATCTGCCTTGCCTCTACTTGCGTAACTCTGGATGTGTCCTTCCTATCTCCTGCAGAAGATTTTTGTTTTCCTGACCCTGTGATTTCTGTAGCATTCCTGTGAAAGCTTCCCTTGCAGCTGGTAGGACTATGGTTGGGTGTGTGGTGGCTGTTCTTCTCAGGATATATCCATCAATAGGTTCCTTCACTTTGGCTTCTAAATCCCTCCTCCAACAAAACAACCCTTAAGTTATTAATTTATCCTTATATTTTAGTATCTATTAATTGTTGAACAATCCGTTTGGCTTCTCAGTATTCCCATTTTCTTCTCAGGCTGACAGATGGGAGGGGAAAGGCTGTTTCTCCTGTAGGTACTGTATGAGCTGAGCTCTTTTTATTTCAGGTTTGTTATACATTTTGCTCAGAAACACACAGCCCTTGTTGATGCAGTTTTTGTTGTTGAAGAATTTCACTTTGAATCAAAATGTTCAGCTGTGAATGTTGCAAGCAGTTTAAAAATAGCCATGGAGCATATTGTTAAGAGAGTGCTTGGAAGCCTCAGCCAAAACCAACCGTTCTTGTGAATCTGAATGTTTCCCTGTTGCTGAGGAATGCTAATTAAGCTTTCAGTGCAGACAGGAAACATATTTAGCACACATTTTCAGTGAAAAGGAGCTGATTTCTCTGACCTTCTTCCCTCAGCAAGCAGAGGGAGCCTGTTAGTATTCTACTTTTCCCACTGGTTTTCATGTTTATTTGCCCCAGAAATAGAGAATCAAACGAAATGAGATACACTCGTATCATGATGCATTCATTCTCTTGACTTTCCCAAGGTCTTGTGTAGTCTGCAGGAATGCCTGTGTAATTCTCAGTAGACAACGAGAAATGTTTGCAGATTCATCTCTCTTCTCCTGGGACTCTGACATATTATGGCCGGCACCAGACAACACTGGTCTTCATAAATTATGTACAAACACATGGGCACACTTTTTGAGAAGCAAGAGGTCAAACAAGATATTACAGTGATATCCCACGGTACGAAACTAAGTCAACTCCTTTCTCCAGTAGATGAATTGACCGGTGTGGATCTATGAATTGTTCCTATCATTACTAAGACTCAGAGGAAAACATCTCAGCTTGCTCACTGCGATGTCATTCACTCTGGCTGACAGCCAACTTTTCCACTGGTCTGTGCTTTGTTTGTGTGCCATCTGCCAGCTTAAATTCTTCTGTAGCCTTCAAGACCTGGAAACAACTTTTCAGTTTCTCCCTGGGTACAGATTAAATTAATCTAGAATGTAGAGGTTCAGTGGTGCTGTAGAAGAGAGTGGTCCATCACTGTTCTGTTAATAGGAAGCTATGACTGTATCCTGCAAGTATTGTTTTTTAGGTACTAAATGTTCTGTCATTTCACTGGAAACATGGGAATTCTGGTTTCCTCTTACTGCTTTCTCAGCCATGTATCTTATGATTTGACAGTATGTCTCCCTACCTGCCAGACAGGATGCCAGTCTGTCAGAATTGTTTTCTTTTCTATTTGTTTACTACATAAAAAACACTGATGTAAAATGCATTTGTGCAGCTTTGATGATCCAGGGCAAAAAGAGAATTTGTTCTGACCTAAAACTTTGGAGGAGGAAAAAGCTTGGACAAATCAAAGACATAAAAAAAAAATTCTCTTTGATCAAATATGGAAAATACGAAAGGTATTACAGATTATTGGCAAGGTCCTCAGGTAATACAAGCAAGCAGTTCTTACGTCTTCCAACTCAGTGTTACATTTTGAATACCTCAGTGATGCTGGAACGAGTATATATACTTAGTTTTGTTGAGAGAGAGAAGAGGTTGGGTTTGGAGAGGGATTTTCTTAAGAGTGTAAGAAACCAAAATGCTCCTGTCACTTTTGAAGTGGATGACCACAGGTGATGGTAGGGATGTCTTAGCAGCAGCCCCAGGAAGGCAGTAGAACAAATCTGTTTGGTGTTAATTAGCATCACTCACCAGGTGAAACATCATCACTATCCTGAGAATTGCTAGTACATTGTGCACCTGCAAACCCTGGGCTGCCACTAAGAAAAATCTGGAGAGCTTTTGAGATATGAGCACTTCTAAGCACACAAGTCCCCTGGAAATATCGACAGAGCTGTCTGAATGAAAGGGACGTTTATTGTCCTTTGCTTCTCTTGCAAGCTGATTGTTATGGGAAATCTGTTTTTGCAAGTGTCAGGCTGACTTGAGAAGAAGCAATTCTCTTCTGGATAATTTTGGCAGAACAACCTGACCTTCAAGAAACTATGACTAAGAGTGGCCCTTTATTTTCTTGTCACCCTCACAGTATGCATTCTGTGGCTGAGTCGTATGATGAAGTAATGGAGTCCAGAGATTCACTTCTGAAAACTGCTGTCATATAATAGCAGTGCCAGCACTTATGAAATCTCCAGGTGAACTAGCTCAAAGGTGGTGTTCATGACAGTAGAAGTGTGGAGTCATTTAAAAGCTGATTCTATGGTAAAAGTATGTCTGGGGCTGAGATGGGGTTTGAACACAGTTCAAGGAATGGACAGAAATTCAGGGCCAAAGAGTAAAAAGGCTTCTTGCCTGCCTGCCAGGAATTTATGGCAAGCTGCGGAGTGACAAAGACTTGATGATTTTTCCAGTGAGACTTGTGGAGATGCTATTAAACAGATAGTCTGAGAGCATCAACTGGAAGGAAAAGGGACAGGGAGGAGGAAAATGAGGTGATCCATGTTCAGAGGCTGCTGAAGCTTTTGAAAAGAACATGTTATGGGTAGCCAGTACAACTTGCCAATTTTGGCTCACCAGTGCTTGCTGAAATGCAGTTCAACTGAAAGACTTGCAAGAGAAGGACCGATCCTTTAAAGCAAAGGTATCTTAGAGACAGTTAGTGACCTTGCATGGGACTGTAGGTTCTTCACAGTGTGACTTTTATATAAAAAGGTTCCTCCATAAAGTCAGAGGAAGCAAAGGGTTTTTGTTGTTGTTGTTAGATGTTTGATTCCTAAATTGGCTTTCTTTTTAAAGTAGATTTGTGGAAATAATGACTGTTGTCATCAACAGGCCCTCTGTATGGAGGAACTTGGCAGAGGAAAAACCCTTCAATTCTCAGCTCCATGAGTGGGGAAGGCAGAAGGCGTACTTGGTCAACAGGGGTGAATAGAGTTGTCACAATTCCATTTTAAATACAAATCAATAACAAAAGCCAAGGGAGAGATCTATAGTTAAAAAACAAAACAAAACAAAAAAAACCCACAAAAATAAATAAATAATCCACAATGAATGGAAGGATTTATCTATTTTGTTGGAAATACTTTTAATTTTCTTTCTATGAGTAAGACCAATGACAAACACAAAGTAACTGGGTTGAGGTATTGCAATTTGATCACAGCTGTACATGTCTAAATCTGGAGAAGTTTGTCTGCATCTTACATCTGCTTAAAGTTGGAATCTATTTACATTGCTTACACTGTCTCTTTACACTGTTCCATCTAGGAAAATAAGGAATGATTAAGTGCGTGTTAATACTTATCTTTTTTATCCATTTACCTGACTGCTTCCACTACCACACCTGAAGACCTAGGATCCCAAGTCTGAAATAAAGCCCTCTTCTGTAGATGTGTAGTCCCTCAGGTTTGAGTTGTTGCGAGTTCCTTTCTCAAACTTCTTGATATTTAATGTCAGTTGCTTGATTCATTGTGATGCAGAATATCTTCTCTTTATTTTTGCTGTCATTGGAAAAATCTGGGAAGAAAACTCACTAACTCTAATGTGATGCTAGAAAGCAGCATTTCCTTATTCTTTTGATATGTACTGGGCGACTTAAGAAATCAAATGCATGCGTACACAGTTCAGGTTCTGCACTTAAACAGGTAAGACATACAGATGCAATATATTGGCATACATATTCTTTTCCAAGAACTCATTAATATATGCTAACATGGTGGATGCAAAGACAAACGTAGCTTATTGTGATTTGAGTGCTTCAATGAAGAAGGGAACGTTTGGAAAAACAAGACTGTGCACATACCAAGCAAAGCTAAACAGAAAACTTCAGAACTGTCACACATTAATTCCTTTTTGCTAAATTAATATATTGGCCCTTAAGTTAATATATTGATCCCTGTTGCTAAGCCAACTTATATCAGTGCTACAAAATATCAGTAGATAGATATGCAGATGTTGGAAATATCTTGGGAAGTGCTAAATACTATTCAGATTTTCCCATCTCTACCTCTTACATTCTTTTTAAAAAAAAGCTATAAGAATTGATAGATTTTTGTCCATCTTGCTATATACAGCTTATTAGTATAGCCATCATTATTGAATTATGCTTTGGAGAACATTAACCATTGTAAGTAATATCAATACTATGTATGCTGTATGCATTTAGAATGATGTATGAGTAGTAAGAACGGCCAGACTAATATATATATATGAAAGAAATAGAGATGTGAAGAAGCTGCATGATTATTTCTTGTACCTACCTGCTCATGGTGGACATGAAGAGGGGCTCATTTCCCAGGTATAGAGATATCACTGCTTCAGTTATCCCTTATGTAAAATGACAGTAATAACTTATCTCCTAGGAGCTCTATAAGTCAGCAGTGTTTGTGAAGAGGCTTTTCTATCTTGATGAGAGATGCTTTAAAAGTGCAGTGAATTAATGTTTTTCTCAAATGCTTTTTGATTGAGTTCTACAGGGTCAGGGTTTTGTGGCTTGTTATCAGTATTCCACCAAGTGACTTGCTTTCTAATCTCTAGATTTGCTATGTGATGGTCAAACTTTAATGAAATGACTGCAGTAGCCAAAGACAACTTTGATAATTGAGATCTTTATGGGGAGGAAGCCCTTAGTTTGGGTTTTGTGCTGGTTCACAGTGTGAACTCTTCACAGCTCAGAAAACAGCTCATCCTGGGACATACAATGCTCTCAACTATCTGTGGTGACTAACTCTGTACACACAGTTCTGTCAGAGCAAATGAGAAGAAGGACGTGATTGCTTTTGTTTCAGCAGAAGAAACTAAAGAGAATTTAAGGGAATACTTCATGTTACAGTATGTAGAAACTTTGGCTTGATGCCATCTTAGCTGACTTGTAGCTACTCATCAAAGCCTGCTGTTACAGCTATGCTACAGAGCTCTCAACATATATCCTTACTTCTTGGCTGAGTCAAGCTTTCATGCAGATACCTATCAAAACTTTACACTCACAAACAAAATATTGTTACTTGATAGAGTTAAGTAGGCCAAGTCCCCATTGGGACCCATAGACTTGTGGGTGTTCAGGTTCCTCATGTGGTCCCAAACCTGATCTTCATTTATAGGGGAGGGATGTTGCTTCCTTGATCCCCTCCTGCCAAACCAAATGTTTGAGGGCTGTGTGGTGAGCAGTTGTCAGGGAGGACCTGACAAGAGACACAAAAGTTAAGTACCTCAGCCTTTTCCTTGTCTGTTGTTACCAGCCTGCCTGAATTTTCTTTTCAGGTTGAGGTACCTGTGGATGCCTTCCTTGTTCTTTTTTGCATCCCTAGCAACGTTCAGTGGCTTTCCTGACCCCATCCCTGCTCAGCCTAGCAGCTTCCTTATATTCTTCTTGTGGTACCTGTTCCTGTTTCCATTGCCTCTGTATTTTCTTCGTACTCTTCAGTTTGACCAGCAGGTCCTGGTTCAGCCATAGTGGTCTCTTGCCTTCCTTTCCTGACTTGCTACACCTGGAGATGGAGAGCTCTTGTGCCCTGAAGAAAGCCTCCTTAAAGCTCTGCCAGCTCTGCTCCATAGCCTTGCCCACGAGGACAGTTTCCCAGGGTGTTTTGTTGACTAAGTCCCTGAAGAGTTGGCAATTAGCTTTCCTGAAGTTTTGCTTCCTAGTTCTACTCTTCACCTGTCTCATGTCCCTCTGGAGCATGAGCTCAATCATAGCATGGTCATTACAGTCCAGGCAGCCTCCAATCTGGATGTCACCAATCAATTCATTTATACTGGTGAGCAACAGGTCCAGTATTGCATCCCCCCTTGTGGGCTGTAATTACTTGACTCAAGAAGTCATCCTCAGTGTATTCCAGGAGCATTCTGCTACTTTTCCAGCAAATGTCTGGATGGTTAAAGCCCCCCAGCGGGACGAGCACTTGTGATCACAGTGCCTCCTGTAGCTGGAGATAGAAAGCCTCATCAACAGGCTGTTGCTGATCTGGAGGCCTGTAGTAGACACCTGTCACAAGGCTCCATTTGCTGCCTTGGTAACCGTCATCCATAGGCTTTTGACTTGCTCATGACTGTTTCTTAGAGATAGCTCTTCACATTCTATTCCTTTCCTGGTATAGTTAGCAACACCCCACCTCTCTTCTCTTGCCTGTCCTTTCTGCGCAGCTTGTAGCCATTGATAGCCACGCTCCATTCATGGGAATCATCTCACAACATGATGACAACTGTATCATGGTTTTCAAGTAGCACAGTAGCTTCCAGCTCCTCCTGTTTATTTCCCAACCTGCATGCATTGATTCAGCTGGGCAGCTTTTCTTGTCACTCCCTTAACCCCTTAGTTCCTTCCCTTGAATTTCCCCATTGCTTTCTCCTGTTGCCCCAGTAGTCGCTGCCTCATCAAAAAAGAAAAAAAACAACACCCAAAACAGAGTGCAAATATCAGACCCTTCTGACTGCAAGAGGCCCTTTTCAGGTGACATGGCAGTACCCTGTTGGGATGGAGTGAGGAAGCTTGCTGTGACCCTTCACTTGAAAAATTCACCTAAAAATGTCACCTGTAAGGTGCCTCCCCAGTTCAGCCCATCTCATAGGGATGTTCACAGCTTAATATGAACTATGATTTTACTTTTGTCTAGGTGGCAGAACTGCATATCTAAGGAACAGTAGGATTTCCTAGAGTGTGTGTCTGGTCATCAGCTGTTAGAGAGGAGGAGACACAGCAACAGGGCATCTTCTTGTCTCAGGATACAATAACTTGTTGGATTTCCAGCTTCTCAGAACAGGAGAAGCATCAGTCTGATTCCTAAGCATAAAGAAAAAGAAAAAAAAGACAAGTAAGGAACAGCATGCTGCTGGTACTCTTTACAGTCCTGAAAAACAGTTATTTCTTTCTCCATCTTTGCCATTAAGCACCTCCTGAGCAATTTCTGCTGCTCTTGAATTGGATTTTTCACAATACTGCATGTAAAGAAATCCTGATTTCAGAAATCAAGAGGGTTTGCTTTTGAAGCTAAATCATCAAAACGTATCTTTTTATTCTGAATGGAAGGGTGACTATTTCTATTTCAAATAAGCACGGGCAAAGC